ACAGGGGGCCAGAGCAGCTGGAGAAAACGGGGCAGCGGGGGGGCCAGGGGAGAAAAGAGGGTCTGCTGGGCAGGCCACGAGGAGCCAGCCCGGCAGAACGGGGCCTGGCCGAGCACAGAGCCAGGAGATGGGTCGGCCGAGCGAGTTTGGGGCTGGAGGGGGGACAGAGCAGAAGAGCTCTAGCTGAAGGAGGGGGACAGAGCAGGCTGTGCCCACCAGAGAGCTCTCCCTGGCTAAGCTGGGCATGGTGCCCAAGTGCCCCCACAGCCCTGGGAAAGCTGCAGGCCCAGCACCCCTAGCGCTGCCCCCGGGGGATGTCTCCGCAGAAGCAGCCTGGGTCTGTGCTACAGCTCTCCGGCTCCAGCCCTGCCCTCAGCCCTGTGGTAGCCAGAGGGCGACACGCTGGGATCTGGGTTTTTCACCCTGCTCTGGGAATTCCACGCCCACACCTCAAGATGACTGAGGTTGCAAAGTCAAGCCCTCCAGAGTGAGGCAAGGGCAGAGTTAAGGGGACCCATGCATGCAGCCCCCTTCTGCACCTACATTCTGCTCACATGCTGGCCGGCTGTTTCTTGTCGGGACTTTGCTGGGCTCGCTGTGCCTGCGCCGGGGAGGCATCGGGGCTGCTGGCTGTGGGTCTCCCGCAGGGGGCTGCAGGACGAGACAGTGGGCTCCTGGGGAAGGCAGGCGAATGTTGCCCTGGAGAAATGAAGTCGAATCCCGCCTCTGCCTGAGTTCCAGCCCCGCTGAGCACTGCAGCTGCCGTCCAGGGGAGCCGTGCTCAGACCTTGGCAAGTGCCACATAAAGCCAAGTGCTCGGAACAAGCCTCAGGTACCTACGAGTGGACAGTTGACCTTCCGCTGTACCCCAGGGCCCCCCTGGCCCCTCGCCGCCTGGTTGGAAAATCACTGACCGTGAAGCCCTGCCACGAGGCCAGGCCACAGCACTCCCACGAGGGGAGCAAGGACTCTGGCCTCGGAGCAGGGGGAGCGGCTGAAAGCCTGGGGGCCACACGACGAGCAGCACAACAAACCAGAACAGCCGGTCGTGTCTTCCTCCCCGCATCCTGCACGCCAAGCCAGGGGGACATAGCCCAAGCTTTCCAACCACCGGGTCCCTTTTCCAGTAAGCGCAATGGGAGACCTACCTCAGCCCACAGCCCCTTGGCTGGCTTCCTTCCTGCCCTGCTCGCTGCATCCCCCTTCCTCACTCACCTTCTCCAGGCCAGGCCAGGGCGTCGTGGTGCAAGTTCCGGTCTTGGGCCAAGGGGTTGGGAGTGCGGGAAGGGCTCCGGGCATAGTCCAGTGTGGGGGACGGGGGTCCAGGTGCAGGCTGTGGCAAGGCGTGTGGGTGCAGGAAGCAGGCTCTAGCTGGGCACTGTCTGAGACGACTTCCGGGTGGTGGAGCAGTGGGGTTAAGGCAGCTCGCTCCTGCCCTGGCCCTGCCCCACTCCTGAACACAGCTGGCATGGACAGCACTGGCTCCAAGGCCCCATGTGCTGCCCTCATCTCTAGGCACTGAGCCCCCTACTGGCCACAGTTCCCCATTGTTGACCAATGGGAGCTGCAGGAGCGGTGTCTGCCGGCCAGGCCAGCATGTGGAGTCCCTGCGCTGGCTTTCTCGGGCTGCACCCAGGAGCAGCAGTTCCCACGGGGATAACGACTCCGCCCACGCCAGGGTCGGCACTTTACATTTCACTCCTCCCAATGAAAACAACGAAATGCGCAGACCAGTCAAAACCCCCAAATACCCCACTTTGCACGCAGGAAAAGGAGTAACAACCCCCCCTCCCCCCCCAATGTTGGGTCAGGAGATGAGAGGGAAGGAGAGAGAGAGAGTCTGAGACACAGAGATTTGCATTGCCAAGCTCCCTCCCTCCCTTCTCTGGGTGAAGATAGGAGTGGGGGGGGAGGAAGGGCACCCTGACATCAGCCCCCACTCTTCTCCCTCCCACCCCCGGCACAGCAAGCAGGAGGCTCTGGGGGGGGCAGCACCAAGGCAGAGGGTGGAGGACAACTGAAGTGCCAGTACTTGAGAGCTTCCTGGCCCACCAGTCAGGATCCCGTCAGAGGCTCTGAGATCGACTGGTGGATCCCGATCGACTGGCTGGGGGCGCCGCGCCCAAGCTCCGAGCCCGTCACGCTGCAGCCACACACACGCTTGAGAGCTTGACTTTGCAACTCGGGTCTCTTGGGTCAGACACCGCAGCACGCTGCTGGAGACGGGAGGGGATCCCAGGAGGGGCATAGGCCCAGGGTCCCACTGCTCTCGTCAGCCCTCAGCGGAGCCGTGGGCTTGCTTTGTGCGCAGGGAGGTGAAAGTGGAGGACCTGAAGGCAGCCTTCTGTGCCATTGACCCTGCGATCGACGAGCTCACGCTGGAGGCCTACCTCTGCCTGGCCTTCCAGGCCCCCCGGGAGCAGTGGGACCAGAGTGCCCCGCTGCCTGTGGAAGCGGCGCATGGTG